AAGGCATGGCTAAATCCTAAACATATATTATCATTTGAACAAGTTAAATGTGGTATATGTGAAAGACCAATGATACTGTTGGTTCAAGTAAGATATTTCAATTAATTAATCAATTAATAGATTGATTGATTGTGTAAATTATATTAAAAAAATCAAAAATTTTTAATTGATGTAGCTTTATGCACCAGAAGATCAAGATCAACTACCAGAAGCATTCCATCGTATGATTTATATTTTTTGTTGTAAGAATGGATCATGTCATAAACAAGATTGGCATAAATGGTTTGTGTGTATTCTGATTATTATTATTATTTTTTCTCTAAATTTAAAAAAGTTTTTTTTTTTTTTTTTTTTGAAAATAAAGTTTTAAAGTTTATAGAAATCAATTACCAAAAGATAATCCATATTGGCCATATATTGAATTTGATGATGACAGCAGCAATAACAATGACAATGAAAATAATAAGGACAAGAATATTGATGATGATGAATCTTCAAAAAAAGTTTCAAATGATACATTAAATGAAGATGGTAAAAAAATTTTTAAAATTTCTTTTATTCAATTTATGAATATTTATTTTAAGATTTTTTTTTTGTTTTTTAATTAGTCAAACAATGTGTAGTTTGTGGATTATTAGGGTCAAAAGAATGTGGGAAGTGTGGAATGAGTTGTTATTGTTCAAGAGAACATCAAATAAATCATTGGAATATTGGAAAACACAAAAATTATTGTTCTAATAATCTTAATAATAATAACAAAAATGATGATAATAGTAGTAGTAGTAGAACAACAAATGATCATCAAGAACAAAATAATAATAAAATATGTAGCCAAAAAATACTATTTCCTGAATATGAAATTATCACTGAACCAGAAGAAATTGATAATGTTGAAGAAAAAAATTTATCATATTTATCATCGTCACCAAAAAAGGATTCTAGTGAAGAATTTGATGATATTTATGAAAATAGTAAAGTTAAAGTTGATAAAGCTTTTTTAAAATTTCAAAAAAGAATTCAATTGTTTCCTAAACAAATCTTAAGGTATTGATTTATCTAATTTTTTTATTTAAAAATTTTAAGGTACTAATAAATATCATTTACCTCCCACTATTAGATATTCAAGGTTGCATGAAGATGATAAAAACCCAGATCCATTATGGGTAAGTGATAATGATAAACCTGGTGAAGATGATATTATTATACCAAAGTGTTCAAATTGTGGACAAGAGAGAACATTCGAGTTTCAAGTATTATCAACCTTATTAAATTATCTTAAAATAGATCACACAAAACTTGATTCACTTGATTGGGGAACATTATTAATTTATAGTTGCAAAGATAGTTGTCACTCTGAAAATAATTATTATTTGGAAGAATTCATCTATAGACAA